AAGTTTTGACAGAATTCATGCTTTTTTTTACAGTGTTCGCTATCTTAAGGAGGGACGAAAGTTACTCTTCAAACTGAATGACTTTCGTAGGGTGGGAAAGTTCCTCCGGAAGGAGAAGAGCCAGTGACTTTATTTACTGGCGAGTCACATCCGCCGTTTCGCAGTGTTGTTAAACGGGCCTTCGTGGCTTTTAACAGCCAGTACCCTTGCTAGGCAGAAGCGCACAACGGGCTGAAGCACTGCCGCCGAACTATTCGCTGGAACTAGATTAACCCGTACTAACCAATTGGCACCGCGTGAAGGTTGTTCGTTTAGACAACACGCAAGAGGCATTCCAATCATTCCCATGTCCACTGAACTCTGAATTTGAGCGTTTCGCCTTTTGGACCGTTAAGTTCAAGTTACAGTTTAATCTGTGAAGGTAGGGCAGGAGTTTTCTATACGCGTTCCTTTGTAAGACGACGTTAAAACAAGATATGGTTTACAGGATGGAGTTGAAGCCGAGGAGAGTCGAACCAATGGGCAGGAAGCACAAATCAGTCAACTAATCTCTGCCAAAGCGACATGCACTGGTAGCCTTTGCTGTACCTGCCAAGTGAATAAAAATAAAGACTAAAAGAAGGGAATCAGAAAAGCGGGATAATAGAATTATAGCACAAAAGAGAATGCGGCTTGAAGGCAATAATAGTTATAAGGGGTTAAAGTGAAGTAAATATATGTGCTAGTTAAAACCAAATGGTGGGATCCGAAACTGTAACCCTAAAGTGCAGAGTCGATGTTCAAACTCCTGTACCGCTTGCATTAATGAGGTTGCGTGGGTTAGTGCGTTCCACAAGTCGGCGAACCTGGGTTATAAACAAAAGTCTGCCCTAAAATGAACGGATAGAGGCTTAAGCAGCTTCAGCGGATGAGCACGAAGAGACGGCACCTGAGACTGTTGGAGCCACACAGTTAATTCCTGCCCAAACTTCTCTGTCAATAAGCGGTACCTAAGTCCCAGGTCGCTCTGAAGGCGTCTATAGTGCAGCGAAAATATCTGCAACATAGACAGCCCATCAGGATACGAGTACAGCCACAATTCTTGCCAAATTTTTATGCCACTCCTCAGAACCAGTTAGACGACCATTTTGTCGCGGCTCAGACATGGAGGACATGCCTGCACGCAGCATTCCAGGTATGGCCCGATGAAAGCTGAGTAGGATGTAACCAACCAGTCATTTGTTATGATACTAAAACACTGTGGCTCAACCACAACTTTCGCAAACCCTAACGAATAGCAGTCTTTAACTTTTCCTGGATTTGCAGCCAGAAGATAGCGCGATACCTAAATCGTTTTGGAACACCAGTTGGGGCCAGTTGGGGTCAAATACGTAACATTTTGTTGACTTAATTCATCCTATGCCCAGGACTGAAACCCCAGCAAGAGTTCTTAGCAGTTGCCACACATTTGACCCTTCCAAATCTTGCCAAGAGCTGTCGGTAATGCCACAGGATCACGGGTATCGCCTAATGGATCTCAATATTGTAAGGCATCCGCAAACATAGTGGGTGGTGTGTTAAGCTCCTCAAGGAGGATTTTAAGATACAATAAAAGCAGTAACGCTTAGAGAACCGACTCCTACGGAACTCCAATAATTAAGTTCATTTGCCTACGTTCTAGGACAGTCGAAATCCATTTTAATACTTGACCTGAAATGCCGTAGGGCAGTATAAACAAAAAACAATAATGCGGGTCAGTATTAAAGATTTAGGAAAGCCAATGAATAGAACGTTCACCGCCTGTAATAGATCCACTGCCTCAGGCCAGAAACCTCAAACAGTAAACATGTTAATCAAACAACGGACGGACTGAGCAAGCAGAACTTAATCAAGTGCGTTTCGAGAGCGGCATTTACTAACTTCGTTAATACTCTATCTAGTACACTTGTTGAGCTAATCGTCCCTTAATTTTTGGTGCCTACGTGACAAGCTTTTTGAAAACAGAGCACACGATAACATCTATCCGGTTCGCCGGTAGGCGCAGCTATCAAGCCATTTCGCAGACAAGTAATCGGTTAACGTAGCAAAGCTGCCAGCACATACAAAAGCTTGCAATGAGCGACATTTACACCGGCAGCCTTAGTTGTATTCAGGTCACACAGGAGCTTGAGTACTTGTGCTTCGGAGATGGAAAGATAGGGCAGGAAGGTAGCCCCTGGGACCTTAGCCTCTAAGCTGCTATTCGGCAACAGAGATTCACGCACATACTACCTTATACACTGTTCCGTAGGTAGGCAAGCCTTGTCTTGTTCGGTTGCTGCCTCATTGTCGTTAGGTCCAAACCACGCGGAGATAGACGAATTTGCAATACATCGCCGAGGACGTGTCTAAAAAATAAGTTTCGTGTTGGTTCCTGCGAATCGAGCCAGCGTTAATTCATACCTGATGCGTGAGGCCCCGCAGCTTCAGTTTACATGCATTTCGCAAGCATCAATAACGATGATAGGTACTTTCCGAGGGAGCTGATACGCAAGTCCGCGAACATCAAGAGCGTCTACTGAGCACCCTACGTGCCGCACTGTCAAGCAACGGCGGTACTGCCCTAGTTTATTCCTCACTGAGGTTGGACTACGGGAAAGAAAACTTCTCAAAAACGAAGGATTTAACTTCGTCCCAAGTGACCTGGATCGTATCATCATAAGAAATGATGTCGGGAGAATCTTCAGCAATGCCTATGGTTGCTTGAAACGCAGTACCGCAGAAAATGGGCTCCTTGTAAGATATTTGTCACTGCCCCAACTTAAGGTGCAATGGAATAATAGATACCTTGGATCATTATCGCACAAAGGAGTATCGGAAACGGCATCTCTCAAAAATGCCACCGCGCTTGCAAATATAGAGTCTAAAATGGAAGGCTTTTCTCCCGTCATGAACCTAGTTGGCCTCTGTACAAAATGATGCAAGTAAACTTGTAAGGAAAATGCCTATCAGTGAACAAACACCTTGAGCTGGGTATAAGCCATTTCGCCGGGCGCAGGAATCTTAAAATCACCCAAAACCCGACATCTATTGGTCGAATGAGCAGGAATGAATTCGATACGTCAGCTTGACAAATTTTCGAGGCTTCTGTATTCTAACGCACTTTTAAACTGCGTGAACGTGGGACACACATTAAGCGAAAGGGCTTCAACGGTTATATCGGGGGCACTGAACAAATATCATCTTAAAATAGTCAGGTAGACGTGCTGTACAAAGCAACTCCACCTCCGCGATAGCATGAGGCGCAATCAGGTGGTGGTAGGGTACAGCCAGGCAGACACACTACGTTGTCCAGGATGTCGGCGAACTGCCACATCTAAGTAAAAATAAGTACCTCTGGCCGCGAGCTTTCTACAGGAGTGTCAATCTCACACATGCAATTCCTCAGACTACGAACTTTGCTGAGAATGTTAGGATCGTGATCCGGGGTCCGGTGGACACCAGAAAGGGCTCTGGAAGGGCGGAACTAGACTACCGGCTCACTATGCGAAAGCGCACCAATCAAAAACCTATTTCATTCGCCTTGCTACGGGCATTTTGGTCCTCTAAGGTATTTGAAATTCGACACGTCGACCTCTTCAGACGAGGGCCAAATGAATTTCCGTACATTTCCGACAGGAAACCCGGGTGATAGTAGTTAAGGAAAGCAAAGCTTTAACTGTTGAAAGTCAGCAAGCATCCGCTCCTTTGGAAGGACTGCGGCAGAATCCGTGTCATTCCAGAAAGTTACACTACTATCCAGGTAAAAGCCATTGCGGCATTGGGGGCCTACTACACGCACCAAAGCCGCAGTAGGCTGCAAAGGGGTGGTTTGCTGCTTGGACGCACTAGCAAGGTGGTACCAGGCTTTGGATGACGAGACCGAAGAACTCAGCAGTGAAGGCTCTGCAAGTGATATGCATGACCGACCTTCTGTACACTCCGTTATTACCACAGATTGCAACCGTAAAGTTTTCTTTTTCTTGCTCCTCCTACTTTTGCTGGTGAGGTGGACTGCAACACTATGTCACTAGCACTGGAAGCACGTACCCCTTTCAAATGTTAATCATAAAGTAGCTCACAATTAGTTGCTGGATTGGGTGGTAGGTCGACGGAATCCGTTTGCGTGCTACTATCCGCCAAATTCACCTGGCCGAGAACCACCGAGGTTGACCGGCGCTTTATTAAACATACAACCTTCCCATTCAAAGAGGTCAACAGCAACTTCAATTTACTTTGCTTGTTAATCTGGGAAAGTGCGAAGCAACTTAATCCCCCGTGGTTACACAGCGCTGTGCTTTAAGGTTTAAACAATAGTCAAAACTATAAAGCAACCTCCCGTTTTTCGCCAAAAGTACATACAAATCTACAGGGAAACCAGTGCCTTCCTAATTTAACTATCTACCGCAAAGATTGCACTGCAACCCACATGACAAGTCAGTTACAGGTACAGAGCATCACCATAAGCCTCATAGGGAAACTGAGTCAGCAGATTTAAGCATCGACGTCACATCTAAAAGATTTTAACCAGCTTGACAGCAACGAAGAAAAGGTTAGTGAGGACAGAACGGAAAAAGAGGGCCGGCTTACTTTGGCCTTCAATGCAGGCAACGAGAGCAAATTATGAGAATACTGCATGCGGAATGTACGCACAAATTGGAGCTCACCGGCGCACCCCGGTAATTCAACGTTTGATTGCCGCAGCTTGCTGCGGTTAACAAAACAGTAAGATAACGTTATTAGGACTGCTAAATAAAGAGGAACAATGTTTTGAGCTTGCGATGTCGTCGGATAGTTTTATCCGTTATCTGTAATAAGGATTTGGTAAACTATGTCGACGGCTAATAAAAAGCAACACAATTCACACAAAAGCACAGTAATATAACATTAAATATTTTCACTAGCGGTACAGCAGCAGCGGAATGTTACAAACTCACTTCCAGAATTAGCGTTTAAACGCACCAGGTTGAGCCTTATAGTGGACTAATCAGCCTGCTAGAGCCAATCAACTGCGGGGAAAAGCGAAGTGCGAGGTCGCCATATTGTTCACGGGGTTCCCAACTCTTATGTTACTCAGGCCACCTATCCTCTTCGCTTAAATGCGGTTTTCCAGACATGTACGTTACTTACTGATTATAATTAGGTCCAAAAATATGGTTTGGTGTGCTTCATTTCGTTTTTTATACTTAATCACTTTTTGGACTTCCACGCATATCTTTTGCTCGATTCCACTTCCAGTATGGAATTATACGAATCTCTTGTCACCTTAAGGTGTTTTGCTCACTCTCGATATACTTTCTATGTTGTAGCATTTAATTAATGGCTCAAGAGTCGCAACAAAACCAGCCCCATGGATCTATTAATTTGGGAAGTTCATCTATCCCACACCCACAAACGATAGGTGTCCTCGATTCTAACTACACGGTCGCAAGGGAGACTTACGGGTTGCACTACGCGTCCTACTCGCCAACTCAGTCCAACTCCGACGTTTGCTTAGCGCAAGCTGTTCCTAACCCGCACCTGGTCGGTGACTCCAGGCCCTTCGTCCCTTCTTGTGCCGCCCCTATACCTACAAACGTTTCTCATGGTTCGTATCTGGAGAATTACTCACACGTAAACAATGCACCTCATGGATCTGTTACCTCTGGACCGATGACCCATGTACAGTGCAATTCCGCAACGGGTCAGCCCGATATGCTTGAGAGCCTTCTCTCCCGTAACTCCTACACCCCTCAGCTACATCCTACTCAGGAATATTCGGTTCGACTGGTCACACCGGCTTGCTCCGCGCAAGTCGGTCCGGTTCCTAATGTCACCGGCGCTTCTGGGGGTTCCAGATACGTTGGTGCACTTCCAGGCAATTCGACTACACCTAGCTACATGACGAACAGCGCTGCACCTTCTGCTGTCGCAACTGACCCCGAAAAGCGCCAGCTTATCCAACAGCAATTGATTTTGCTACTCCATGCACATCGTTGCAAACCGCAAGACGACGGTACTGGTCGGGGTACTCAGTGTACAACGCCACATTGTAGAACTATGCGAGGTGTTCTTCAACACATGGCCACATGCAATGAAGGTAAAAACTGCCAAAAGCCTCACTGTGCATCTTCCCGCCAAATTGTTTCGCACTGGAAGAACTGCAGCAACCGCGAGTGTCCTGTTTGTGAGCCCCTTAGACAGAGCCAGCATTATCAACGCAACCAACTTCTTCGCCAGCAGCAGCCGCAACCGACACACACCATCCCTTCTCGTCCAGTTGGGATCAATGGTGTTGATACCACCCCACAGCCAGCTGGAAATCAACAATTTCAGTCCGTTTCCATTTCGGCCCCCCGTGCCGTGCCTGTATCGAATTCCTTCTCATCGACCGTTGTTGCACGTCCTACCACCAGCATTGCTTCACAAGGTCTGGATTCATCTGGTTTGAATGGTATCAACACTTCAGTCTCAGGTAGCTACGCTGCTCTCGATCAAACTGGATGGCGGAAAGAAGTGAACATGCCCAAACGTAACCACGTTGTAAGACGGATGTAAGTCACTAACTGTTTCTGTTTCTTGTTTTGTCACCATACTGTTCTAAGCTCACATCGAACACCGATCAACTGATTTCTTGCGGCGTCCTAAATCCCCGTCCAACTGTACTAGACTAGCTATTTTCCCATATGCCATCAGTTACACTTCGGGCCACGTTCTGTGCATTTATGTACTTCAAATTCCTGTACGTTACTTTTTTTGGTGCGTTGCCGGTGGATTTGGCGTCTTCAAACTTTGCGACCATAGTGTAACATAGAATCCGTTTATTTACGCACTGTTCTCTATAAAAGTCGGCCACCTATGTAGTCAGAACCTGCCATTTGTTGTCTTGTCAATGAACGTTCATTGTGCCACAGGCTTCTGTCCGATCACGGCAGCAGGTTTTCTCGTTCCACCTGTCTATAAAGTCCACCACGACATCTTTGCAATGGTGGGGCCCAGTCAATTTGGCCTATTTTGTTTGCACCTGCTTCTCTGCGTTTGTAAGTATCTGTCGAACATCATGTCCTTGTAGGGTGCTCAGTTGAAGGTTATTCGTCCTGATCTTTGGATTCGTGCTATCTTGCCGCTTCTGCAGTCTGAATCCCTTAAGATTTTAGATGAGGACTCATGATCTAATGTCACCAACGCAATACCACAACACGGTCATGCAGATATAGGTGTGTAGACCTAGATACTGCCAGAACACCCGGACCTAGACAGTGTTGGAGTTACAAAATGTCAGTTGATACGTGTCCTTGTGTAGAAATCACAGCACCTATCTTGTCCTCGTCTGGAAACTTTCTAGTGCATGTCGCGCAACTGTCACCATCATTTGTTTTTCATCTTCTGCTAAGACCACCGTCTTTAGGGCAATGCCGCTCCTGACTCAAATCAACCAGTTTCTGGTTGGAACTTTTTATTCTTGACGTATGCCACATGCATATTTCTTTGTCACAAGCATCGATTGCATAACGAAAAAGCAGTACATCAGCCTTTTGAACTGATGCTTCGCTGTCATACACCCATGATGGACTATGAAATAAGGAATAATAAAAAGGGGACTTACTGAAAACCTCAATGCCCTAAGCAAACATTCAGGGTCAAGGCGCCTACACCTTGTGTAGACAACATACCGTCACAAACAGCAGGCTATCGTGCGAAGATAAGGTGGCATCGGTGAGACAGCTTTCTCGCGACTTTCATTGCCGTGCGTCATAATCAGCCATTACCCCGCAGATAATTCGGCACCAAACACACTTTGAACGGGTAATCCGATTAGGAGACGGCAGCAGACGCGCCACTGGTGTCTACTGCCAGCCATATCCTTTAAAGTCTCGAGCCAAGCATAAGGCGAGTCACGTGGACTCCAGCCCGAAAGGCGAGACGGACCAACGACACCCAGTTTGGTCGTCGGTGACTTCATTTCCTGCTGCCAAGTCAACTTCAGTCCACCTCGAGCCTTGCGCCACCCTACACATGGCAGACTAAGCAAGGCCCTCCTAGGTAAGCGGTGACCAGACATACGTAGCACGTGCCCGAGCCAGCGCAACTTATTCAGTGCTATTTGTTGTTCTGGTGAGCTGGCATGGTTATCATCTCCTAGTACTCGCCTACGCACATAATCGTTGCGGACATGCTAGTGCCATCCGACTCCAGCAATGCTTCGCAGACAGCAGTGATCAAAGACTTGAAGGTGCCTCAGATCTTCAGACCGAAGGGGCCAAGTCTCACTACCCTAGAGCAAAACGGCCCTCTCTGTGGCCTTATATACACGGCCTATCAGACGGGGGAGTCTCCCTTCTGTCGCCAAAGGTGCCGCAGGTTCAAGAAGGTAGCTTTGGCTTTTGCAGTGCGTGAGCTGACGTCAGTTTCTATGCGCCCATCATTGCTGATGGAGCTGCCAAGATAAGTGAATTGATCAACCACCTCGAGTTCCTCCTTAGTAATGGTCAAGGGATCATAAGGTGGCTGGTGGTCCTGCAGCAACACTGCACTTTAAAAATGCGAAGTGCCTACCGGATAATGGGACCTCTATAGACAGGCGATTCAGGTTTGATTGTGCTGCTGCAACGTCGTTGAAAAGCAAGAGGATATCGGCCGCATAATCAAGATCAGCTAACCTTTACCAGGCAGCACTTCAACGCCTACATCATGAGATCCCGCAAGGAAACACTCCATGGTAGTATGCATGACGAAATGAAACATAGGTGGAGAAATCGGACAACCCTGACGAAGGTCACTTGTTGTAGGAAAGCTATCCGGTAGGCCACCATAGACCTTGACGCGGCATGTAATGTTCGAGTATAGAGTACGTAGGGTGTTCACATATTTCGTGGGAACACCTTCCCCTATAAGTGTTTCGAACAGAATCGATCGATCGACTGAATCGAATGCACTCTTGAAATTGAGGAACACAGCTATTGTCGGTCTGCGGTATTCGTGGCGCTGCTCTAGCACCTGCCGCAAAGTGACTATATGGTCTAAACAGCCACGTCCTAGGCGTGAACCGGCCTGCTTTTTTCTAATCCGACGTTCCCGTTTTACAGTAAGGCGACGAACGAGAATCGAGGCCAGTAATTTTGTCAACTGGCGTTAGGATAATACCCCTGTGGTTAGAAAAGTCTGTGTGACTGCCCTTCTTGTATATTGCCACCATAATCGATACGCACCAATTAGCCGGGACACTCTTCCAGATACGTTCGAATAGGGAGGTCAGTGCTTTGCAGTGGACCTCACCTCCATGCTTAAATAGTGCAGGTAGGAGGGAATCCGAACCAGTTGCACGAAAACGATTGGGTGCTGTGATCGCGTTTCGGACCTCGGCCTACGACCGAGGCTGTGAACTAACCCTCCACGGCTCATGCTGCATACGGCGATCCTTATTGTGTATCAGTGCATCTGCGCTGTTTGCCGCACTGACGCCTGGTTTTCTGGGACCAGTGATGCAGATCAACTGGAAGAGCTTGCGGTAATTACCTACTGCTCCCGCCTGCTCCGTTTTTCTAGCCTGAGTGATCACCCGACTTCCTTGTAAACACGCAAGATCCGCTTTTGTTCACGCCTAATAACCCGTCTGGTCATATTGTGCTCAGAGCCAGCCAGGAGGTGTCTTCTAGATTCCAACAGGTTCACCGACTTCTCGCATATCCAGTGACTGGTGTGGTGACAATGGATAGTGCCACAAACATGCTCCTGCGTCGTGCATGGTGGCGGAGATCCTATTCCACTGAAGCTCAGTGTCATTAGAACAAGACAGCAAAAGGTCGGTATGCATTGCGTCTCGATGCGCTTGCCCGATGAAGGGCTGAGACAATTTCTCAGTTGTCAATTGCAGGAAACGCTTGCTGCGCTTTCCGGTGAAGTTCATGGAGAAACGACAGCGTACTAAGGCATGATCAGAGTTGACGCAGGTACTGCAGTACCAGCGGCATTTGAGAATAGAACCACGTCACCTGTAACTTATGGCTAAGTGGTCAATTTGAGTCCATCGCTGTCCAGCTACGAGAGGACCGTAAGTGGCACATAGGAGCCCACTGTGTCTGAAACAACTGGTGCGCCGCACACCGGTGCAGCAAACGCTCGCTGCTGTCAGTCCGTTCGGAGTTAAGCGCATACTTACCATCCAGCTGAGCCTCTGAAGAGCTTAGACGCCCTACTTGTGCGTTCATATCCCCTGCAAGTACTAGTATATCTTAACTAGTAGTACTACGTAGTAGCGCGTTCAGTTCGTGTTAGAATGTCCTTGACAGCATTAGGACTGTAGCCGGTGGGAGCATAAGCGGAAATCACAAACAGCGTTTTGTCCTACTTCATGCATCAATCTTAGCTGATGTCGTCAAACGGGCCGCACATAAACGCCTGTTCACCTGAATCCTGTCAACCAACCATGGCTTAGCCGTGGAACTGAGAATGATATCTACACCAGCTTGACCCGTGAGTGCTGCGTCGGCGTCGCCAGATGCGTGCAACCAATAACGAGAGGATAAGCTGGGTGCAATTAATTCAGCAACCCCATTAGGGTCATTGATCTTAGTTTCGGTCACACTACAGACATCAATACCCACTGTGTCCAATGTGCGTGCGAGTGCAGCCTGTTAACCTATTTGTTTTAGAGTGCGAACATTGAACGTCACCGTTGCAACAGGACAACGTGGCCTTATAAGGAACTTTTGCCAATAGGTGTTGTGGGATTGTGACTGCAGATGGTTCTATTCCAGTGGCACTTCGGTTGCTGTCAATTAAGCTGGGAATTATAGAAGGATGGTTAGTAATGGGGGTCGGGATTGGAGTGAGAAAAAAGTGAAAAAGAAAGAAGGGAGGCGCCAGCAGTAGCATGTTTTCGCTTATCCGCTTTGATATATGCAGCAGATAAGGCGACCCTTGATAATCTGCGCGACGGCCGATGCAGGATGAAGTTTATATTTGAAGAAAATGTCATGGTTGTATGTGGGCTGAGATACTGCCAGGGCGCCCTGATCTAGACAGGAGAACGAGTAGGGTCCTCATCCAAGGCCTTGGGTTCAAAAGCCTGTCCGCAGGGCAGCGGGAGTTGGCAATGATTTAGTTTTACAGAAATGGACGCCATATCACTTCAAACCCCCAATCTGGAGGACCAGGAGACTGAGTTTGTCTGACCTTTCACCATTGACCAACCGGGTATGAGTAGCTCTCAGGGTGCCAGGAGGCATCACCCAGTAAAGCTCAATGGGTCAAAGAGGTACGCAAACCGTCGCACCACGTTAAGGTCCAGTCTCGTTGCAACGGCATAGCAGAACTCGGATCCTAGTTCGTCATAACGCATACTAAAAAAAACTGCGCCGATATGCTTCCCAACTTTGACTGGGACGGCCAGGGGCAGTGTGTCTGTCCCTAGTCACTAACTGAAAGTACGATATTAAGAAGTAACGCACTGAGGATTAGTTGTATTAATGATGCATTATAATATTTATTGACGTATTTAGGCATATTACACTTTCTTTTCTCCATCCTTGTGGAGTCGAAAGCATACTGAATA